ATCTTTCATGTCTTCTAATCAATCATATAAACTCTTTTTACTCTCTCACATATTTATCACTAAGAGCATCTCCAATGCGGACTGTTGAGTCCAAAAAATATGTACCACATAACACCGTCTTATTTTTTTCTCTCCAATGGGTTCTGTGGTGGTTTAATTTTATCTGATGTGGCTTGACAGTAGTGAAGGCCACTGTTTGAAACCAAACAGTCTCTTTGGCAGTATGACTCAGAATCCAGTACAAAAGAAAGTGTGCATAGTATTTGGATGTTGTTATTTACACTGTCAACGTTTGATATTAAAAGGGATAAGTTATCCAATTATTTACATACACGTGGCATGAACATTTGACATTGACATCCCTACACTGGAGATGCTCTAACAATCAGTATTCTATAATGTCCTTATCCTATTACAATTAATTGTAACTCTTTTATATCACATCAATTTATAAACTCTAAAAAGATTTGTTTTTCCACTCAATCTCATTTCTACGGCAAACAATTAAAGAAACCATTTGAAACTATATCAAACCACACCCTTAGATTTTTTTTTTAAAAAAAATGAATAAATAAAATTTATATTATTATTTTTTTTTAAAAAAAATAGATAATAATTGAGAAGGAGTGATCAGTTTTAATAATAATAACTAGTGTTTGAATACAGAGGTTGGTTAAAAGTAGTTGTAGAACTCATATACAAGGTGAAATTAGAATATAGAAATAGAAGTTAAAGAAAGCTAAATTAAAAACAAAAATCAAGAATATATGTACCTGGAATTGTGATGATAGTACTAGTGACATTCTCGCGGAGGTAGGACTCGGCCATCTCCTTCATCTTTCGAATAATAATGGCGCTAATCTCCTCTGGGCTGTAAACCTTTGTATGAATTGAGAATTAGTATGAGATTTTATACTAGTTTGACAATTTTCATGCAAAATTAAATAGTAGAATAAAATAAAACAAAATCATAAACCTGCGAGCTCCAACTTAAAAAAAATATATATATTCAAATCTAAAAAGGGTAAAGCTAGATCATGGAAATTAATCGACATGAAAATAGAATGACTAATTTATTTATGAAACCTGCAACGAAGACTAGAAGAAAACAGAGAGCCACGGTTGCACGTTTGAAAGCCATGATTCTATTCTTTTTTCGAGAAGTAGAAGAAGAAGAGCATGCATGAAAATTGTTTGACTTGGTTTTTTCCTATCTTTAAGTGGAATATATATAGGTTGGGTACGGGTGGAGTCGTATGGTGGTTATGGACAAGGAAAAATGAAAAAAAGTTCAATTTCCACGTTATTTGACCGATGAAAATTGAACACGGACGGCAATTGACGCAGGCTGAGTGTCATTTTTTCTTTTTAAACAATTATTAAAAATTGAGGAATTGTTTTGTTCCTTGAATGACTCGGTTTCACGGAGATTGAACACAATTATTAATCTGCATAGCACATAAATAATAATAACTCATATAAAAGTATTAAAAAAATATCAATTAGTATAAAAATCGTTTGAAATACTAATCAATATTATTATCTTTAAATTATAATAGTTTAAGATATATATATTTCACCGTTATAAAATAGTTGTCATTTTAGAGTTAATATTTAGAATTAAAAAACATGAAAAATTAACATATATATATTTAAATATTAATAATTCTCACAAAAATACTTGCTTCTCTATTTCCCTTACGTATACTTTCTTACAACATATTATTTTGATTAGTAAAAAGCTATAATAAAATTGAAAAATTATGATAAATATTATAAATCGACATTTATTTTCGAAAGAATTTAGAGTATATTATTTTAAAGTTATAAAATTTATTAATTTCTAATTAGGTTACATTTAGGTTATTTTTTGATAATTTATAATAATGGATATTATAAATATTTTAATTTTTTTCTAATTTAATAATTCACATTATGGTTTACACTATTGACTAATATTATAATTTATAACAGTATAATAGTGGTTCTCGTGTTCAAGCATTACTAAAAGGCTGACACTGGCTCATTTCCTTGGCGCGGTGATGATCAAACAACGGAGGTTTCGTACATGTAAACAAACAGTCCACAATTTATAATATCTGCTAACGCCACACCGAAAACACAATTCAACAAAACGAAATATAATAAATATCAATATATCATACAAAAGTTCCAAAAGTTATAAATTTTAGTTAAAAAATCTGCGTCGTACATCGTTACAGAAGATTTACACTTCAGAATGCTTACATGATCCTATATTCATTACAAATCTATTTATAAAATGGAGATAAGTCTACGAGTAAAAAAATACATCTTCCTCCTTCTTCAATCGTCGGAAACCTCTTGATACAATGGTCATGAAAAGATCCCAAAAGATGCCAAGGACGAGAAATCACATGCGTGGGACATGAGAGTCGCATTGAGCCAATAGGACATCGATTGGAGCCAATGGCACAGTTACAAGTCGCGAAGGATGGGTTGACTTGTTGGAGTATACTGTAGAAACTTGACTTTGTGATTACTCCTAATTCCATTTTGAATGAGATGTGTGTTTTTAGTCAAGTGTGTGTGTTCGTAGTTCATTTATTTATGTGAACAAAGTTCCTTTCTTTTAAATTGTAGATAATGTGGTTCGATGTGTCGAACAGAAAGATCACATTATCGATGCCTTGTAAAATATAAATACTTATTCACGATCTAGACAAAATTGAACTAACTGTCGTGAAAGGTTGTAGTGTGATTTTCGAGTTAGTTGATCTTTGACTAATGAATTACACCAGTAAATCTAGTATGTATTGAACAGACCTACAAAAGGATAAGATTATTTTATACTGACCAAGTAAGTAATCTAGACATCAGTAATTGTTGCGTTCTCTTAACTCGTACGACAGTAAACGGGCATATGCATTCAACACTTATTTGATTTACCAAGAATGATACATATTCTGTTAGGTTGACATACTCGATATTTTGATAATTAATGTTGTCTACATGATGTGCCGTTAAGATTGTTTATGGTCACTGTGTCCCGGTCTGTCGGGTTGATGACGTCCCTGAAATTAGCTCAATAATGATTATTATGTCAAGCCCGGCCGACGGATTAATTTCCGACATAATAATAAAAAATTTAGTGGTACTATTTTCGGTTCAAGAAATTGATTAATTATATTGTCAGTAATTAAATTAATCAATTGGCGTTATATCTTAAACATGTAGAGGTAAATCGAACAATTAGTCGGGAGACGAATTAATTTTAATTCAGAGCTAAATGAGAAGTTTAATAATATTACTCTAGTAGAATTATTTATTATTTATTCAAACAAGGAATAGGGATTAAAAGGTCTTCTAGAATAACCAAGATATGTCATTGGTAGGCTATTGGGATGCTGGTTATATATCTCATCCCCATAATGTCAGATATCATGCCGGTTATGTTTTTCTCTGGGGTGGTGTTGCAGTTTCTTGGAAGTCGGTCAAGCAGACCATGGTTACGACATCTTCAAACCACTTAGAGATAATTGTTGTATACGAGACTTCACGAGAATGTTTATGGTTAAGATCTTTAATCCAACATATTCGTGGATCATGTGGAATTACAAATGATATAAACCTCATTATCCTTTACGAGGACAATGCAACTCGTGTTTTACAAATAAGTAGTGGGTATGTTAAAGGAAGCATGACCAAATACATTGTTCTAAAACTATTTTACCCACATGAGCTCCAGAAAAGCAGCAAGATCATTGTACAAAAAGTACGGTTTAACGAGAATTTGGAAGACCTATTCACCAAATCCCTTCCTCCATCTACTTTTGAAATATACATTTATAGTATTGGTATGCATGAACTGGAAAGATATTGTCTTCAGGGGAGAGGCAAAGTCATAATAATCTCGAAGATTAGATCGTGAAGATCAAGTGTTAGTACTCTCTTTTCCTTTACTAAGTTTTTCTCATTGAGTTTATTAGTTAAAGGTTTTTAATGAAACTAGTAAAGCACGCGAATTTATATAAAGGTCTAATTGCCGCTAATATCACGACCTTACAACTTTTTGCCGTTTTAACCAAACTTTTGGAATTTAGCAGACATAGCATAACCTTGTCTATTTTTTGGCAATTCGAATGACAGGGCCAAACTTCAGGCTTTGTCTGCTGACGTGGCTGATGACATGGTGATTTTATGGCGACGTGGCTACTGACGTGGCAATAAACCCTAGATTTCTGTTTTTGTCTGGTGACGTGGCTGATGATGTGGTGATTCCTACTGATGTGCCCTGCTGACGTTGCGGTAAAAAAATTAGGTAACTCTGGAGTTCAAACTTGGGACCTCAAATTTGTATGATAGCATTGTAACCACCACACCAATCCAAGTTGTATGTTAAAATTAAAAGCACTTAACATATATAAACAACACGTAAAAATAAATCAAATTAAATTTAAAACTTAATATAAATTTAAAATTATACTAATAAAATATAAACTTATAATAATTAAAATATAATAAAATAAATTATATAATATTAAATGCAAATAATATAAAATTACATAATACGTATAAAAAATGGAAAAGTAAATAGAAAATATATAATATAAATAAATTAAAATAATAACATAAAATAAATAGAAATATCAAGTTATAATAAAATAAAGAAATATTATTTGAAATTAATTTAATTAATAATTTATTAAATTATTATATTAAAAAATAATATAAATAATTTCTTAAATTACTATATTCAAATAATATTTTTTTTGTTTTATTATAATTAATAATTTATTATATAATAATATAAATAACTTATTAACTTATTATATTAAAATATGAATATAATAAAATAAAGAAATATTAATTGAATATAATAATTTATTTATAATTATAAATAACTTATTAACTTATTATATTAAAAAATAAATATAATAAAATAAAGAAATATTGATTGAATATAATAATTTATTTATTATTATATTATAAAATAATATAAATAATTTATTACATTACTATATTCAAATAATATATTTTTATTTTATTATATGCATTTAAGATTTCTATTTATTTTAACTTACTATTTTATATGATTTATTATATTATTTTCTTTATTTTACTTTGCCATATTTTATACTTTATTATCTTATATTATATGATATTTATTTCATTTTAAACGGTGTACTTTAATCTAGTTTAATTTTTAATTTTATTTTATCATTATTATTTTTCATTTCAAAATTTATATAATTAATTTATTTTAATAAATAATAAATATATAAATTTATTTAAATTTAATTTAATTTAAATTCACTCTACTATAATAAATTTTAACTTACTTTATTTTAGTTTTTTTTTCATTTAATATTATATAATTTATATTATTATATTTTAATTATTATAAGTGTTTATCTTATTAATATTTATTTAATTTGATTTATTCATACTTGAGTTGGTGTGGTGGTTGCAATGCTATCATACAACACTGATGTCCTAAGTTCGAACCCCAGCGTTGTTTATATTTTTTATCGCCATGTCATCAGCCACATTTGGAGACAAAGCCCGAAATTGGGCCCGATGATTCGAATTGCCAAAAAATAGACAAAGTTATGTTATGTTTGCTAAATTCCAAAAGTTTGGTTAAAACGGCAAAAAACTGTAAGGTCGTGATATTACCGACAATTAAGCCTTATATAAATCATGTAATCTTTTTTGGGAAATTTTCATGTATACTTAGTGATTTTTGATAATTGCAATATTACTATCCATACCAATTAAATTGTGTATATACCTAAAAGATAAATATTAATTATAATCATGCCTAAAATCAGTTACAAGGTAAGTGGAACAACCTTCCATGTTCCTAGCGCGTAATTTCAGGAAATCGGGCAAAGAGTACGAAATTTCACGAGATCTTCATCGCCTATATATATTGCTTTAACATATACTGCAAATATACTGTACATATACCCGTCGAACGTCTTCCTGTTAATGTCATGAGAAAATATACCGAGAATATATTGATAATATACCGTCGAACATCTTCCTGTTAATGCCATGAGAAAATATACCGAAAAGATATTGATAATATACCGAAAATTTTTAACTATTACATACTATCGAACGTCTTCCTATTAATGTCATGAGAAAAAAAAATTTGAAAACAGTGAACATGAATAAAAATATACTGGAAATAAACCATACGAACACGATACAATATGAGGGGATGAAAATATACCGAAATATACTTAATATAAACCATACAAAACTGCAAAGGACTATAACAGAATCACTTTCATGTTCACAAACATATCAAAAGGACAACCATTTTCATCTTCTCTTCGCTCAAGAACCAGGGAACTGATTTGTGCAACAACAAAAAAAAAAAAGAAAAAGTATCCTACTAATTAGCTCAAACAACATCTCAAACTATAGGCTCCACCATCAAGTTTCAAGGTAATCTGGCAGAAAAAATTATTATTCAACGCTCCTCATTCTTCAGAGTATCACAATTTGCAAATTAATCCCCTTTCACTAGATGAAGACATGTCTAAGAAAAAGATTTAAGAAAAAAAAACCAAAAAAAAACAATAGCCATTTTTTGTTTGTTGCCTCGAGAGCTTCAGCCTCCCCATCACGGTAATCACCCGAAAACCGTAGCACCTTGCCGGGACCGAGGGCCACCCACGAGACAGGAGCAGGGGAAAGCGCAAGCTGCAAACTAAGCCCCGACCACCACGAGGGCGGCGATCTGAGCCCGCTGTCAGGCCCGGCCTTCACTCCGTCCGAAATCCCAGCGACCGCCATGGCGATATAGATTTTGGGAGAAGCGCCCCGGCATGGATCATCAGGCCTGATAGAATTAACGGCGCAACCATAGTGACAGTCGGCGCCAAGGAAACGGAGCTTCGCCGGTGGAGTACCGCAGCCGCGGTCAAAGGGAAGAGGTGGTTTGGGAGGGATCGTGCTTTTGTGAAAAATCTTATTTTGTTTAGATTAATTTGTAGCTGATTTGTTGCAAAAATTAAGGAGAAAAGATCTTAATTAAAAACATTCCATGTTTGATATGTTGACTTTGGAAAATTAAACATTAGGTATATGTGTAATTATTTTGTATTGAAGTTGCATTTAAATAAAAAAAAACTAATGGGTGTTAAATATGCAATATAATTATTATATGAACGTGCGGGGTGTAAATTCCTCATCTTTTTTCCTTAACTAATTTTTCCCCTGCCCGATTTGATTGGCAATGTTTTCAATGAGACATGTAATAATGTCCATATGAACATTTCTAATATACAAATTGGACATTGAATCCATTAGCTAAAAAATTAAATTTTAGAGTTTCTCCCTTATAAACCGTACTCCTATAAAAGAGAAAACGCCGATTAATGAAAGACACTTTTTCTGCTCATCTATCTCATCTCTCTACTTTGTGCTCATCTATCTCACTACTATGTTCTTATGTTTGCTATAGAATGATGAATGCTTGGTGAAGATCAAAGAATTCCATTTACAAAACCATTTAGCAAGCACAGTTTAGAAGTTAATCGATTCCCTAATATTTGGACATTTTCATTGGACTCTATTAAACCCTCATGCTCCATTGACATCCGACAAAGACAAACAAAAACCTCAAATAATAACAACACATTACCCCATCCTATAAATGGGTCGCCATCACAACTCCAAATCCCAAAACATCCAGCCGAAGAAACTCGATAGAAGAAGAAAAAAAAAATCATAAACACAAAACATTGACACTGAAGAATATCCAAATTCCAAAAACAAATATAACGTTACCTAACAATCTGAGATAAAAAAAGCCTCACACATTAACACTAGACAAATAATCTTGTAAAGCAACTCAGAGACCCAATATTTCTTTCTAGTTCTCACGCGGGCCACCAATTGCCGCCTCAGATCTCGCTGTCTCGTCAACATTTTCACGCAGGATACCGCTGCCAACTTCAGTTTTCGTGTTCTCCTCGACACCAAGCACATCATCCATGACATCATCCTCTGCCGCGTTTATATCCTCCACGTCATCCTCATCTTCATTATTTCCAGGGATTTTTCGAGTCTTAGGGCCATGCTCTAGCTGATGGGTCTCCAGTTCTTTGTCCATGGTCTCCTGTAAGTTTGCCGTCATGTTATTATTACCCCTTCTATTCTTTCTCCCGTTTTGCCACCTCTCGAGCTCGTTATCGACGTTCGCCACATACTGCTCTGAAATCTGCTTTTGGTACTGTGATAGTTCTTCTCTCCTTGCAGCTTTCCATTCTTGAAACATCTGTTTTCAATCCAACATATCAGTAAAATCTTTTTTTGTTTTCTCATTATTTCATTTTTTTTTCTAATGTCGTCTTTTTTTTTTTAACGAAACAGCATATGAGAAAAAAATAGATGAATAGGAATCAGTTCAGGTTTTCAGTTATCCAGCAGCATTTTAGATTCTAATTTAAGGATTATAAAGAAAAACTTGGACGAAAAATTCACCTGGTCTTTCTGCTCCTCAGAGGGAGTTGCTCCTTGATCAAGTGGTTTGGTGAACGTGTAATAAATAGGGGGCTCTGCCTTGGTCCTGGAAGATAACACGAGGGAAGGGGAGTAAAAGAAGAATGTCATATTATAGTATTACATAGAAATTTGCAAGAAGACCAATAATGAAAAGCAAGCAACTCCAGGTCATTGAGCTGCCTTCAATATTCTGTACGCGAATGGACACTTATCTTGATGTCAATAAAATTGCGAATATGTACACTTTTTGGACCTAAATAAGAAATAACCTGCACCGGGAGAACCGAAAATAGTGAGAAATTAAATTACACCACCAAATCCAAGTTATACATTCCTGTCCAAAACAATAATATACCTTATGAAATTTCCAAGTTTTTTGTGGTGCTCACTCCACCGTAGAAACAGCAATTCCAACTTCTTTTCCTCTGCCTTTGCAGCAATACGTGCTCTGAGAGTCTAAGGTGAAACAAGCAAAATAAATACAAATGGATACATAAAACTGAAAAATTTAACTCATTCTACCAGAGCAAAGATAGTCTGAAGGCAAGAAAGAAAACCAGACCAAATCTCTCTTCCGCTTTTCAGCAATCTGTTCACGCTCTTGCTGCCTCAGTTTTTCACTCTCTTCACGTGCTCGTTGCTCAGCCTACATACACATCAAATTTCCAAATAAATATATACTCAAGAAACACACATAGCTCTCTCAGTTCAGCTTTAACAATTTACACCTTTGATGTACGCTATCCCCAGCAAAACAAAGAGAACAGAGGAATAATCCTTAACCTAATGAAATCTATACCTAGTTCACTTTGTTGACTGGTAAAGGAGAAAGCTATACCAATTTTCTAGATGAACTTACAAAATCAATTTCCTTGATGGCTTGATCCAAAGCCATGGCCAATAAGAAGAGAAAGACAAGCTGACCTATAGTATGGAACCTATCGTTTTGTTACTTTTTTTCCTCTGCAAAAATGTCCTTACAGTACGAGCTATATAAATTTTATGAGCAGCTTAATTTCACATGATAAGAAAATGTATCAATATAGCAAAAAGAAGTCGCCCACAAGCCTCAGTGATAGGAAAAACTAACGAAACAAAATGCTTTATTTAAAAAGCTACATCTAGTCAATAAAAGTTGGGTAACTAAAAGATGAAACATTTACTTTTATGAAAATAAACCCTGATGAGACAGTTCAAGGCCTTTGCCAATGATTTGACAAACACCATATAAAGCGCGCGCGAGAGAGAGAGAGAGAGAGAGAGAGAGAGGGTGAAGGTTCAGTAACCAAGTATATAGACAAATTTAAGAAAGCACCAATTTCGACCAATGTCAAAATGGTGTTCACAATTTTAAGAAGCAATGACTAAGCACCAAGATAATCTACCATAGTAATTTTTTCAAACCGACGTAAATTATGTTGCATCATTGCTAAACTTGCTTTACAACAATAATAAAAATTAGGAAATCCAAAAATAAATAATAAGGAGATATATATATACCCACCCTTCTCAAAGAGTCAGATCTCTTCATATATGCCTCTGTGCCTGACAGTTGCATGTCTTCTTTCCTGAATCTCTGAATATGCATCCAAGAAAAGAATGAAACCAAGAGTATCATCAGTTGAAAAAAAAAAAGTCTTTAGAAGTTTGTTATATAGCTTGAATCCAGCAAAGGTAATTCTCTTCGCATGTGCATTTAGGTGAATAAGCTTTAGAACTATAGAAGTCGTGATCACAAAATACATGATTTCTAAGACTATTTTAGCATGCAAGGTTAAGAGAAATGTGCCTTTGATTGGAAAAGAACAACACAATCCCTAATCACTCATGCACATTATATCACAAGACTCTGAACCAGTCAATTTCACAATTTAACATTCCCAATTTGATTATGTAGTTGATCCTCCATCAGACTTCAGATCCTCCTTCAACAATAATTGTGGACAAATAATAATTTTAATTATACTACAACAGCTCCCGCTTCTTGGTCCATTAAGAGTAGGAGCTAGGAAGCCAAATAGGAAAAAATCCAACCATTCTCATATTCACCATATAAAAAAAAACAAAAAAAGGGGGCTCAGTGATATACAATTTCAAGCGCTGAAAACAGAAAAACTAGCAAATAGCAAGATTCTTTATATGAGTGGCAGATCATGAAATCAAAAACAACAATATCACATAACATGCACACTTAACAAGATCAGAAATCATGAAGATCAGGCCATCTGAAAACTGATGCATGGTCAGCTATTCAGAAATCATATAACAAAAAGCTAATGAGAGTAAAAAATGACACACCTCCAAAGTCCCAAGAAGCTGGCCTAACATCCTCTTGTTCCTGCTGACCAGACTAGGGTCCTCGTCCTTAGGCAACACCCTTGGTGTATGTTGGGCTGGAGGGATGTCAAAGTCCTAAACAACCCATCAAAAGGAACAATAATTCATTCAGGTATTCAACTCCTTGATAATTGAATACAACACTAATTTCACATACCTAAGCAAAATATATGTGTGTGTGTGTGTGTATAATAAAAAAGAATTAAAATCAAACCATTTTAGATGGCCTTTGGTTTGCATCCCTCGCAGTCCAATTTGATTGCATTTTCTCACCCAGCCTCGAATTCGCATTTGCATTTGCATTAGCATTCGGCCCTGTATTAACCGATGCATTGTTCTTTTGCACGTCATTTGCATCTTCGGATCCATCCTCTGCTATTTCTCCATCCTCAACCTTCATTACGGGATCCAAAAAACATAATTTTGTAATACCTCTAGATTTATAAAGGCGCTCGTGAAATAGTACTAGTACAAAAAATGTTTCAATTTCAAAAGGGAATCATCCAAATCTAAAATTGGGGTTTTGAATTCCGTTAGCATCAAACACACAGCAAACACAATCAACTGAACGTAAGAGGATCTCACACCTTCACAACAGCTGAAGATAGTCGCCTCTTGGCTGGTGGCCGGTCCTCCGCATCATTCCTCTCAGCCTACATAATTACCCCAAAATTAAGAGATAAATGAAAACCAATCCTTCTTAAGTTCATACAAAGAGAGATTCAACAAAATATTACAGGCCGAACAAAGCCACGCTGGCGGCCGCCGTTGGCGGCGATATTGCGAGGTCCGGCGCCTGAAAGGCCACCGCGGCGAATCCCTCTGGGATCTCGAAGCCGCTCCGAAATCTGCCGCACAGGATAAAAGGGGAGTTTTGTCAGTGAAACAAACAATAAGCGAAAAAAAATCGAAATTTATGGTGTGCGCATAAAGTGACGGCGGCCAAAATACGAAGAAATACCTCACGCTGTTGGCGATAGAGCTCATCGATCTCTTTCCGTAGTTCCTCCTCTGTCTTTTCAGCTCCGACTGTGCTGCTCATTGTGTGTGTGAGAGAGAATGAAAGAGCGCTCTGCAAAAACCCTTGCAATCCTGAATCCTGTACTGAATTATACTTTTTCCAATATCCTTTTAACTTTTATTTAAAGTTATCCATGTCGAGTTTTTGGTTTTTTACATTAGTAATGTTAGATGTGGCAATGCATAATGGAACAAAAATTTTAGAAAATAGTAAATACATTCTTTGTTGTTTTTAATTTTTTTCTTTTCAATCTAAAAAATTTATTATATTTGTATATGAAAGAAAAATAAATAGTATAAATACGACTAATATTTTATTTTGCTAAAAATTTAACACTAAAAAATAAAAAACTAAAATATATTTTATTGGATCTTTTTTTTCGAAACGATAGATATTACTAGTACGACACTCGTGTATTACACGGGTTGTTTGAAAAAAAAAAATGAAACGTAAAATAATAGAAAAAACACATATTGTCGTATAAAAGTGCAAAAATAAAAAATACAAAAGTCAACATTATTTCAAATTTTGAAAAATTTCTTTGTACACTACATTAATAATATTATTTACAATGTTCCTTACCGTTGCCAATGTTTTGGATTAAGAGTGGGCACATCAATCCAAACTTACCTTCTCTTCTAGAGTCCTTCAATATTTTGTACAAGTACCTGTGAAATCAAAAGAATATTTAGTGGCCTACAATTCACACAACAATCAATATAAAATGATAAAATTAGTTAAACACTCACATGTTAAAAACCATCACAAAGGACGTGCTCCCTAATTTCTTCAATAGATAATTGTCCCTAATTTCTTCAATAGATAATTGTCGATCGTTTAGGCTTGTGTGGATATAAAAATTTTCCATTATTATTGGAAACATGTTGTTTAGCATACTCCAAATATTCCACTCCATTCTCATATTCGCTACTTGTACGTATAACATTGACCCATGTACGATCCATAACTCCCTATAATAAATCATAAGCGGATTCATATACTGTCCAGCCTAGGCTGAATTTTTTTGCTAACTATATAATTTATATATTAACATATGTTGATTAAAAAAAATTATATTTAATAATTGTAAAAATATAAATACAAGTTTTTATTTTAGAATTTTAAATAATTCTTACAAAGTAATATTATCTTTTATTTAAAATGATACATCTCGCCTGTCAGATTCAATGAAACTATATTACAATATTTTTGCTTCTTATACTTTATAGTAACTTTGATAGATAAATTTATCGTTCTTTTAATTATAATTGATAAATATTTAAATTTAATTATTTTATTTATATATACGATATGAATGTCAAATTATAGATTAGAAAATGTGATTAATTTAATTTATCATATATAAAAAATAATAACAAATATAAATGTTATTAACTTTTAAAATGTATTTGCAATTTAAGTTAGTCAAGTATTTAAATTTGAAAGTTCTAAACAACATAAATAAAGGTCTATATTTAATTATTTATATAGACTACTTCGAACCCTTATAAATTAACATATAGAATTACAAAGCGCTGAAAAATCTAAATTTGTATGTAAGAAGATCATAAGGACCTCTTTATAAAACAACATAAACTAAGATGATGACATCTAGGCTTTTTTAAAATTAATTATATTTCAAAATGACTCATTTATAACTTATTACAAAAAATGATGGAAAATGGATTGTAAAATATTTTTGCTATACTTCTTAATAATAAAAATGTGAAATCAAATATCCAGACCTCATTCTTTATTTCATTTTGAGCATCAAGTCAAAGGTAAATTGAATAGAGAATTCCTCTCGATTGTTTCAACATTTAGTTAATTGTTAATATAAGTATTTTATGCAATATTGTTGAAAGTTTACTTTTAACTATTTTTTTGCCCTGGCTCATAAAAAAATATGGATCCGCCGCTTATAATAGTTATGTTAAATTTATAATATAAATGAAGATATTACAATTAAAGAGAAAAATAGAAAGCAGATACATACACAATATGCCATATGACTCACACACTTTATATACAACAATTTGTATTAGTTAGATAAAAGCATACTCAAAATAAAATATTATAGGGAGAGTAGTCAAAACAAATAATTCTCTTTGTCTTTTTTAAAAATCCGTTTTTTCTTCCATAAAAGTTAGCCAACTCAAGAAAAGCCAACAGAACATTAGCAACAATTCCTTTCCCTTTTTTTATATATTTTATCTTTTTAGATTTCTTGGTGTTGGTGTCGAGGTTGGTTCAGCTATATAGCAAAGTGTTTGGATTTGTTTAAAACTAACTGACAGTATAGCTATATAGCAAGGACCGTTGTGGTATTCACAATAATGCAAATTCAAATTTTGTTATCAAACAATTATCATAGCATTATTTGTTTGTTCCCTGCATTAATATGTATCAACTGTGGCTTCTGAAAAATAAATAAAGTCAAAATGAAGAAAAGTGCAATAATTTTACAAGCTAATAAAAATTCAGTAAAACAAGCAGCAAGAATAGTAATGCCTACAAATGCCAACTACCCTTCTTAATTTTATCACTTGACTGACCAGATAGCTTAGCACTATCAAAATGGGGTCACATTTTTATTTATATACATTCACAATTCACAAGTGCTCAGATAAAATTCACACAAAAATATTGAACTTTAATAAATACTCAGAAATCAGCTTGAGCAGAGCTAGCTAGCTGATCCAAAATGACACACACAATCAAAATATTGTTTAAAATGCAGTCGGCATAATTGTGTGTATTAAAAATTATATAACTAAATAATAATAATAATAATAATAATAATAATAATAATAATAAACCATAGTTTTTAAACCCGGCCCGGGAATCGACCCGGGTAGGTCTCCGGGTCACCGGGTCACCGGTTCAACCGCCGGGTCACCGGGTCAATTGTTGAACCGGATAACTAATTTTAAATTTTTTTAAATTATATATAGAGTATTTTGTCTTATAAATATACATAAAAATAACAAAATTAAATATTTTGTATATAAAATTTACACATTAAAGTGCTAATAATATGTATTTCATGATAAATATTGACCATATAAATATATATAAATAGTTTTATTTTTTAAAAACAAAAAATATATTAAAAAATAAAAAAAATAATAAAAAAAATATATAGGACCGGGTCAACCGGGTTGACCCAGCCGGGTCAATGCCCCGGGTCGACCGGGTTAATGCCGGGTTGACCGGGTTTTGACCGGGTTTGACCGGGTCCGTTGTTTCCCAGTCCGAATAGCCCACCCGGACCGGTTCCAGCTCCGGGTCGACCGGGTCCCGGGTCGACCCGCCGGGCCGGTCCGGGTTGAAAAACACTGTAATAAACTAATTTATTATATTCACTATATTCTCAATTGAAAAACTAATTTATATAAACTACGAGCACAAATTTCGTGAACTATTTAATCAATGCTTCTCCTACAGGCAAGAATAGACGATTCATTGCCTTAGATATTCAATCAATGCTTCTCCTACAGGCAACAATAAACGATTCATAAGCTACATGCAGTTATGATCGAACACCTTATCCAGAGACTTCCATATCACTTGAAATACGTAAGTTGCTTCCTTATTTTTTTCATTCTATACAAAATTTATCACTTGAAATGGTTATAAGCTTGCCACATTTGTATTATTATTATTATTATAATATTACCTGCATCACCAAAACAATAGCAGAACTGGACATTGTCCAGAACTCATGAAATAACAAAACCAACTAGACATCACCAGAACTCATGAAACAATAAAACCATTCACATAATATAATAACTTGTAACTAACAATATGTGATGTGTCCATACAGTAAATTAAAATAACTATAAAATTGTAGTAATTTGACTAGGCACAAAACAAAAACAATTTTTTTAAAAAAAATTAATGTATGCAAAGAATTGAGACAGTAACGAAACTCACGACGAATGTCTGGTGTGGAAAAGGAAAAATGTGTTCAACGGAGGCGGGGACTAGAAATTCACGAAGGACGGTAACAGGGGCTGGAACTTCACGACCGTCGGAGGCAGGCTACAAAGACGGGCGGCGGTTGGAAATTCACGTCGACGGACGGAAGCGGTGTATGGAACTTCACGGCAGACAAACAAAATTGAAGGATGGAACCAAATAGTTTCACGGCGCACGGAGGCAGAGGTGAGGCAGGAAAGACGGAGGCGGGGTTGGAATTTTACGGTGGGCGGAAGCGAAAGGTCGAAGCCAATTTGTTTATGTCGCGCAGAGAGAGAAACGGGAAAGTGAAGAGTCACTAGAGAGTCAATTTGTTTATCCTAGTGATTATCAATTACTTTGTGTAAATATGATTTGTACGTATTTGATTTATTAACTATCTGTATGTTGTGAGTTTTTTACTGCTATAGAAAGTACAATTTTTATATACGGTGGTTTTATTGCATATAGATAGTTTACATTTTATATGTGGTGGACAATAACCCTATGTTAATTTTGATAGGTCTTGGGTATGTATATGGGATTACTAGAACCACATATACATAACAATAATTATATTACAAAAATGTCACCGTCCTACTTTATACATCAGGTATGTTGCACCCGATATAAAAAGTAACCCTTTTTTGTACTAAGTTCTCTTTCTTCTAATGTTACCTTTGCAGTAATTACGTGTCTAATTTTCATCTGTCAAATAGCGTGAAAATTGATTTTTTTTTTGTCAAATAGCGTGAAAATTGATTTTATTTTTTTTCACTTTTCCTTGTCTATCTCCACGACTCCACCCGTGTACCCAACCTTTATTAATTCCACTTAAAGATTGGAAAAACCAACTCAAAGCAATTTCTTGCTCTTCTTCTTCTCGAAAAAGAATATATAGAATCATGGCTTTCAAATGTGCAATTGTGGCTCTCTGTTTTCTTCTCGTCTTCGTTGCAGGTTTCATAAATAAATTTAAAGGTAGATTACTCACCTGATCCACATTTTCAGCTCATTGTGTTCAAATATACACTTGTGAGTTGTCTCACATCGTCTATACAGGGAAAATAGGTCTAACTTATAAGTCTAGTGGCCTACTCCTCCTACCACCATCTGGTTTTGGGATGGAACCTCACTTGGCTTCATTTAGGCTTCTCTGATTTGGTGCGCTTCGTCCGCGGGACCTCACCTGTCAACCCCCGTTTCGTCATGGTAACAGAGTCGGTTCACCCAGCCC